TACTGTCAAATTACCTAAATAAACATGATGAAATGCTAAAGACTGGCTTCTTCAAAAGTTTCTTATAAGTTCCAAAGTGTGTAAACGGTCTTTCTGCCACCTAGCATGACAGAACTAAATCCTGGCTATTCCAGCTGCAGAAAATATATCTTCTGCTTCTTTCAACTATTTTAACAGCCAATCTAAAGACAACTAGGCTACATCGGAGACCTGTCAGTCCTCGTCTACGGCAGGGAAACGCTGTCTTGTGACTCCCGACCCCCCACCCCCCCACCCCACCACCACCACCACCACCACACTTCCCACTGGTTTACACACTTATCTGTTAGCCGCCGGCTTCATTTATGTTGATTTTAATTCCCTGCTTTCATTGGTCTCTTTATGTCTTGTTTTACCCATTTGTTTTCTACTTTAATGTTTTTACCTTTTTTTTCTCATGTACCGTGTTCAGCGCCTTGGTGTCCTCATAATCTTGTGCCACACACACACTGATTTTTTCCCAGAGCAGCTGTCTGTTCACCGGGGCAAGAGCTCCGATACGGAGAACAGGCGTGCGCACGCACTTACACAGAGCTATTCTCTTCTCCCGTTCCCAAATCGGCAGCTCTGAAACGGCAGCTCTGTGCTACAGACAGAAGTTTACTCTACTCTAAGCATCCAGCATAAAAGTGAATCGCGCATGCGGGAAACCCCCCGCTGGCTCATTCTACTCGCAGATCGAAGGCGGTAGGCGTAGAGGAGGAGGTCTGAGAAAAAGAGTCGCCTCGGCACCGAAAACATGAATCTGACCTGTGTGTGAAGCCAAATTCTGGTGCCGTTCGGTACCTTCTGGGGCCGTGCCGACGCTAATGTGTAAGTGCCATTACAAAGTTTCATCCATCCTTCCATTTTTGGCCACTTATCCAGCTTTAGGTCGCGGAGGCAGTCGCCTAAACAGGGAGGCCAAGACTTTCCTCTCACCAGCCACTTGGGCCAGCTCTTTCGGGGGAATTCCCAAGGCGTTCCCTTCCCAGCCCAATAGTCTCTCCTTCGGCTACATTACACATTGCACCCAACATCTTTGGCTCCTTTCACAAGTGGTGAGTCCAAGAAACTTATTGAACAGAAAGACGAGCTGAATTTACGCCCTTCTCTGTTATTGCAGCCAACCGTGTGAACTTACCTAAATAAATACGATGAAATGCTAAAAACTGGTTTCTTCATTAGCTTCCCTCCCACCTCCCCGCAATTTACTATAGTAGACAGCAAAGCATGCCCACGATGAAAAATAAGATTATAAACTTCTTTCGACTGTTTTAACAGCCCATCTAAAGTGCTGTAAATTAGCTATGGCTAAAAGCATCTTTGGACACCCGAGTGAAGAGAGGGGCGGAGCTGTCAACTGATCACCACCTGGTGGTGAGTTGGATCAGATGGCAAGGGAACATGCCGCGTAGACCTGGCAGACCCAAACGCATAGTGAGGGTCTGCTGGGAACGCCTGGCAGAAGAACCTGTCAAGACGGTCTTCAACTCCCACCTCCGGCAGAGCTTTGACCACGTCCCGAGAGCAGTGGGGGACATTGAGTCCGAGTGGGCCTTGTTCCACTCTGCGATTGTCGAGGCGGCTGTTGCTAGCTGTGGTCGTAAGGTGGCCGGTGCCAGTCGTGGTGGCAACCCCCGTACCCGCTGGTGGACACCAGAGGTTCGGGGAGCCGTCAGGCTGAAGAAGGAGGCCTACAGGGCGTGGCTGGTCTGTGGGTCTCCGGAGGCAGCAGACAGGTACCGGATAGCCAAGCGGGGTGCAGCAGTGGCAGTTGCCGAGGCAAAATCTCGGGCGTGGGAGGAGTTTGGTGAGGCCATGGAGAAAGACTATCGATCGGCTCCAAAGAGGTTCTGGCAAACTGTCCGGCGCCTCAGGAGAGGAAGGCAGCAACTCGCTCACACTGTTTACAGTGGGGATGGGGAGCTGCTGACGTCAACTGAGGCTATAGTCGGACGGTGGAAGGAATACTTTGAGGAGCTCCTCAATCCCACCAATGCGCATTCCGAGGAGGAACCAGAGCTGGGAGGCCTGGGGATGGACTGTCCGATCTCGGGGGCAGAAGTTGCTGAGGTAGTCAAACAACTACACAGCGGCGGAGCCCCGGGGGCGGATGAGGTTCGTCCTGGGTATCTCAAGGCTATGGATGTTGTAGGGCTTTCATGGTTGACACGTCTCTACAACATTGCGTGGTCATCGGGGGCAGTTCCTAGGGAGTGGCAGACCGGGGTGGTGGTCCCCATCTTTAAGAAGGGTGACCTGAGGGTGTGTTCCAACTATAGGGGGATCACACTCCTCAGCCTCCCTGGAAAGGTCTACTCCAAGGTACTGGAGAGGAGGGTCCGATCGATAGTTGAATCTCAGATAGAGGAGGAGCAATGTGGTTTTCGTCCTGGCCGTGGAACTGTGGACCAGCTCTATACCCTTGCAAGGGTGATGGAGGGGGCATGGGAGTTTGCCCAACCAATCCACATGTGCTTTGTGGATTTGGAGAAGGCTTATGACCGTGTCCCCAGGGGCACCCTGTGGGGGACGCTCCAGGAGTATGGGGTGGGTGGCTTTCTGTTAAGGGCCATTCAGTCCCTTTACCAGAGGAGCGTGAGTTTGGTCCGCATAGCCGGTAGTAAGTCGGACCTGTTCCCAGTGAGGGTTGGACTCCGCCAGGGCTGCCCTTTGTCACCGGTTCTGTTCATCACTTTTATGGACAGAATTTCTAGACGCAGCCGTGGTGTGGAGTGTGTCGAGTTTGGTGGCAGGAGAATCTCGTCTCTGCTTTTTGCGGATGATGTGGTCCTCCTAGCTTCATCCAGCTCTGACCTTCAGCTCTTGCTGGGTAGGTTCGCGGCCGAATGTGAAGCGGCTGGGATGAGGATCAGCACCTCCAAATCTGAGACCATGGTTCTCGACCGGAAAAGGGTGGCTTGCCACCTCCGGGTCGGGGGAGAGGTCCTACCTCAAGTGGAGGAGTTTAAGTATCTCGGGGTCTTGTTCACGAGTGAGGGTAGGAGGGATCGGGAGATCGACAGGCGGATTGGTTCGGCGTCTGCAGTGATGCGGACGCTGAGCCGATCTGTCGTGGGGAAGAGGGAGCTGAGCCAGAAAGCCAGGCTCTCGATTTACCGGTCGATCTACGTCCCGATCCTCACCTATGGTCATGAGCTTTGGGTAATGACCGAAAGAACGAGATCGCGGATACAAGCGGCTGAAATGAGTTTCCTCCGTAGGGTGGCCGGGCTCAGCCTTAGAGATAGGGTGAGGAGCTCGGACATTCGGGAGGGACTCGGAGTAGAACCGCTGCTCCTCCGGATCGAAAGGAGCCAGTTGAGGTGGTTTGGGCATCTGGTCAGGATGCCTCCTGGACGCCTCCCCGGGGAGGTGTTTCGGGCATGTCCTGCCGGCAGAAGGCCCCCGGGTCGACCCAGGACACGTTGGAGAGGTTACATCTCCAATCTGGTCCGGGAACGCCTTGGGGTCCTGCCGGAGGAGCTGGTGGACAAGGCCGGGGAGAGGACGGCCTGGAGCTCCCTAGTTGGGATGCTGCCCCCGCGACCCGGACCCGGATAAGCGGAGGAAGACGAGACGAGACGAGTAAAAGCATCTTGCTACAAACGTGTGAACGTGGTTTTACATTGTCCATGTTCCTGTATCTGTCTCTAAGTAAATGCCATCAATGAATAATTGTTTATGAAGGACCGATTTTAAAATTTTCGAACCCAGGGTTTAGGATGGTAGGCGTGATGCGGATTCTGTTTTTGTCTTAACGCTTCCAGCCTTTCTTCAACCGTCTTTTCGACTGTTTCATTTTTATAATCAATGAACTGTTGCTCTCTTTCAGCTAAAAGTTCTTTCCTTTCTTTTATCTTCCTTTTTAAATCTTCACCCTTAGTTCTCCAGTCAACATTTGTTTGATAAATTGAAATGTTTTCTTCCTCTATGTCAGTCAATTCCTTTCTCAACGTCTTTTTCGCCGCTGAGTTTTGCATGAGAGCTGAAAGTCTCGCTTGATCTAACTGTTTTAACTTTGAGTCTACATACTCCATTCTGTCAATCGCAGAGCAAGACTCCTTCTTAACATCTTCTAATTGTGAATGCCAGTCTTTCATCATCAAATAGTATTGGAGCAGATTCTCTCTCTTTTCCTGTTCCTGCTTTAAGATATCGCCTAGGTTTGACGAGTCTTCTTGATTTGAACACTTCAGGGCTTCCAGTTTGCTCTCCAGTTCATTAATATTTTGCTTATTTTGTGACATAGCACCTAAAATCCAGTCGTCCTTATAACTTGTATACTTTTGGTTCATTTTCTTAGATGTTCCTGGTAAATCTAAGCGTGGGCCTTTATTTTCATTGGTAATTTTTGAGAGACGGTCACCTAAAGTCTTCTGTTCCAGGACTTTCTTTTCACATTGTAATTTGTAATTTTTCAGGACTGTATTTTCCTCTTCGAGTTCCTTAAGTAAATACCCCTGTTTACTTAAATTAGACTTATGGGCTAAAATCGTATCTTTGGCAACTCTATTTTCTAAAATTAAATCAAGATCATGTTTTTTAAACTCCACTTCATAAATGTCCAGTTGCTTTAATTTCTCTGCAGCAGAAAGCTCGTTCTCTCTTACAATGTGCTTTTTCAAATCTTTGACTTTTTGTTCCAAATAAAATAAATCTATTAATAACTTCTTGTTTTCCTGAAGTGAATCAATAAACGGTTGATTTCGGTTTTCCAGATAATTTTCCATGGTACTCTGTATGCCTCTGAGGTGTCTGAAGAATTGTGTGACTTAGATCTGACTTGCGGGTCAAGGTAATAGGCTTTATGACGTCACTGAGAGGACGCAGACGCTGTTCACGTGACGTGATGGAAGGGGGCGGGGCCAGGAGGGCAGCGCTCCTGGCCCCGCCCCCTTCCATACGTCACGTGAGGGTGCTTGCTGCAGAACAACAAAGACGGAGCTGCACTAGTCAGCCCCGCCCATTCACGCAAACAGCGTAGCCCACTGACTTCTGTTTTTGTTTTTCAGCTTGACCACATGGATTACGGCTGTTATTAGTTTACAATTGTTAATGTTCTATGTTCTATGCTCCAATTAAACAAGATACATTTAATTGCAAGCGTTAAGTGTGCGTGTGCAGCCAAAACGACGCTGGTTTATTTATATGCTGCTCAATATTCATAACGTAGGGTGTGTCCGAATCCACGGGCCGGTCTAGCAAGGCTGGGTCCTTGCTTCCTAGACGACCGGAACCCAGCGGCTCTGAATTCGGACAGTCTAGCCTTCACCTCTACGGTGGCCCGTAGGTCCCGTCCCGTCACAGCCGTGGCGGCAGCTACACGCAAAGGAAAAATGCTAAAGCTAGCGAAAATCGAGCAGGAATATTAAGGAGCTACAGCAGCTTCACGTCCATCAGCAGCGTTTGTTCACAACCGTTTTCAGGTAAAGTAATTTTGTTTATTCTAGAAGCTTTCAGGACTTACATGTTAACTTTAGATGGTTCGTGTATGTTTTAAGCTACAGAATGAACTTGTTAAACGTACACGACACATTACTACAGAGTATTATCACGTAGGTAATTAATATAAACCAAATGCATTATAAATGTTGAATGCAGTAGGATGTTTTCTAATGTAAATTGGAGCTTAGAACTTCTTATTTTGCATCAAATGGGGTAAAACGTTAGCCTGGCAAGCTAGACTAAATAAATGTATTATTTAAACTTTGCAAAGCAAGAATTTGGTTCACTAGGCTAGTAAAACGTTTTAAAAAGCAGGCTTCTTAATAAAATAGCATTGAAGTGTTTTCAATGTGCATTTGTTTATTCAACTTAAGCCTAATAATGATTAGATCTGTCTTAAAAAATGTAAATTCTCTGTAGTTTCCCCTGCTGCTTTTCTTTAAACTGAACAGAACCAGTGTACTGCAGGTTATATGTTTTGTTTTACATTTTTCAATTAAAGAAATTCTTATTTAATCTATTACAGGTCAGCATGCACTGTGCTGCACATCTGCCTCTGTGCTGGTGAAGTTGTGGGTCTGGAGGATGAGCCTGAGGAAGATGTGTGTGGAGGAGGTCAGTGGTGCTCTGTCCTGGAGGAGGTACCAGCAGACCACCACTATTGTTAACAGGCAAGTCATTCACAGAGATGTAACAGCCGTCGTCTGAGCCAGCCCAGCAGTAGATGGACGATGGAGTGGACAGTGAGAGCAAGCGTCCCAAAGCTCTCTCTGCAGACCGTCCTGTATGATGTTCTTCTGGCCAGAAACGTCCAGCCACGGGTCTGCTCCAGCCCTCCATCCACGTCTGGATCCTCCTGTAGCAGATCCAGCTGCACTGTTAAAGACTTCCTGCTCACTCAGTTTAAATAAATGATCCAGGAAGAGTCACTCAGGTTAATCCTGCTTTAACCGTACATAACTGGTTCATATTGGTTTTAATCTGTAAATAAGTAACGTATTATAAATAATCTTGTCTCCTTACCATCTTTTCATTTTCTGTTCATGTAACATGTTCAAAAACATCTGTAATAATAAAACTGGCGATAAAATCAATGACCAGAAAGAGTTATCAGTTAGTATTTGTTTTAATAAATGTGTTCAAATATCAAACAGCTAAATAACATTAACATGATGACAGTAGAAGGCCTCTCTCCCAGGATGACCACCCGGTAAAGCCTCTCCTGACCCTGGACACCTGCAGTCCTACAGAGAAAATCAGAGACCACAGGTGACAAAAAGGCAATAAACACATTTTTACTTCACACAAACAATTTTTACTTCATTAAAACATGTCAGCTGTGTAAATCCCTGAATGTAAAACTACTTTTCACAAAAGAACTTCAGTGGTTGTGTGTGTAAACAGCTTCACTCTTCACCTCTAAGTTTAATAAAAACGCTTCTTTGCTCCGTTGTCGTTAAAACAAATGTTTAATTCGCCACACACACAAACACACCCACGGGAATAACTGGGACCTGCAAAACAAACTGGTTCTGGCTGATTTCTGCCTAAAATGTAATTTAAAAAACAAATATACAAACGAAAAATGTCTATAAACTGAACCGCTTTAAGCTTTTCAGGTTTCTACGGCTAATTTTTAACAAACTTACGTTTAAAACTTCGTAGCTCTCCCCATTTTCTCTTCCTGTTGAAAATCCACAGCCGGCGCGCAAAGCATGCTGGGATAGCCTTGTTCTGTGAGGAGACAACGGACCCGTCCTCGAAATGTGGGTGGAGCGTGGACGCGAGAATGAGTATTCTTGGAATTCGGACAGTACTTGTCGCTGCGCTGTGACGACATCGACCTCAAAATGCGTCCTCACAAGCATCCTTCCCGTGGATCGAACACACCCAGAGTTTCTGGTTGACAAACAGAGATAATCTGAGATAAACTCACGCGAAGACACTTTCTGTGTACTCTGTCGTGATGCTGAAAGATTTTATCCACATGAAAGTCAATTTCACTGGAAGAAAAACAAAACTGGCCTGCAACTGTGTCAGACAAAAAGTAATCAGATAAATAAAAATCACCAGGAAATAAAAGAAACACAAAAATAAAACAACATTTTAGCTTCCCCTTTCTCTAATGGCTTCACATCATTCCCACAAACTCCCAGACAAAACCTCTTTTTCCTGATTTTATATGCATCATTATTAGCCAAAATGGCAACGCACAGCTTAAAGGGCAGCAGCATCACACACCGTGTGTGTTTTCTGTTTTGATCCAGATGACAGACATTTGCTGTTTTGGACAGAAAAAAAAACAGAAGAATTTTCCTTTCACACAAAATCTCACTTCTGTGTTTTTGTTGTGTCTAAATAGCCTTTTAGCCAATTATTTAACGCTACTACTACTACTACTACTACTACTACTACAACTATTATTATTACCGTATTTTCCGGACTATAAGCCGCTACTTTTTCCCACGCTTTTAACCATGCGGCTTATAATGAGGTGCGGCTTTAGTCAACCAGAAAGGATGGATGCTGGAAAGTCTAATGAAGGAATGGTTAAAGGAGTGCTACGGAAAGCGCCCAGGAAGATTTTTTTTCACTGTAAAACGGCACTGCTTGTTTTCCCAGCTTCACCCCGGGATGATGACAGCAACACAGAGAGCGACACTGAAATCGCCACAGAAAAGGTATGTGATGAAGCTCTTCTGATGCTGTTCAACTCCGACACTGAAGAAGAAGATGACTTCAGTGGTTTCAGTGCGCAGGAGGATGATGAATAAACTAATCAATACCTTTTCTGTTTTGTTTGATACTGATCAGTTCAGTTACGTTCAGTTAAACTACGTTTTCAATTCAGTAGATATCTGCGGCTTTTAGCCCGGTACGGCTTATATTGAGGTGCGCTCTATAGTCCGGAAATTACGGTAATATTATTTAATCATCAGAATAACAAAAACAAAACAGATTATATTTATATAGTGCTTTTCTAGGCACTCAAAGCTCTCTCCATTATTCGCGCTCTCACAATCGCAAACTACTGGTGACTGTAAGCTTCTATGCAGCCACAGCTGCCTTGGGGCGGTCTGACCCTATTCAGACTTTACTATGAAAACATACACTCAACAGACTCCTTACTTAGGACACCTGTTTAATTGCACATGGCAGAAACGACTGGCTTCTACCAGAATCTGGTGTCACCAACATAAAAGCATGGATCCATCCTGTCCTGTATCAAAGCTTCAGGCTGCTGCCGGTGTCCTGGTGTGGTGGTAGTGATGTTCTTGTCCCACTATGAACCCATTAGAACCACCTGAGCCTGGTTTAAATGCCGCAACCTACCATAGCATTGCTGCTGACCATGTCCATCCCTTCATGATCACATGGACCCATGTTCCGACCCATCTTCTGGGTGGATATAGCACCATGTCACAAAGCTCAGATCACCTCTAACTGGTTTCTAGAACATGACAGTCACCAGATCTGAGTCCGGTCCAGAACCTTTGGGATGTGTTGGAACTGATTCTGCTCACAGGTGTGCAGCACACAAATCAGCAACAACTATGTGATGATGTTGTATCATAATGGGCCAGAACCTGATTCAACATGACAACTAGAATTAAGGTGTGCCTAATAAAGTGACCAGTGAGTGTGTTCATTCAAATAAGCTTATTAAAACTCCAGGACAAGCATCTGTCCAGGGTCATCATCTTGTGAGGGATTAGTGAAGCAAAGATAAAAAACTTACTGAAATCTGATTTGGTATCTTGCAAAGCGGCCTCCGCTCTGTTTTTATACCTAAAAAACATGAGCAGAAATAAGCGGCACAGAAGAGCATTGCTCTAATTTCCCTCTGGGATTAATAAAGTATCTTTGAATTGAATTGTCTAGTCCAGGAGTGGGCAATCCTGGTCCTCAAGGGTCCTCCGGCAGGTTTTAGTTGTCTCTCTGCTTAAACACACCTGGCTTGAATCTGCTGGTGATTAACAGGTTGCCGCAGAGGCTGATGAGCTGTTAAACTGGTGATTCGTGTAGAAATCAGGTGTGTTGGAGCAGGTAAACCACTAAAACCTGCTGTACAGTGGCCCTCGAGGACCAAAAGATGTTTTTCGTTTGCATTAAAGATGGATGAAAGTCAAAAGAAAAAAGTTCTGGAGACAAAAACATGATTCTGTAGAGAGTCAGCGGGATCAGAAACTTTCTTTTTATCTGTTTGAGGTGAAACTTTGAGTTAGACAGTCTAAATTAACTTTTTTTTGCTGATGAACTGTATAAATGAGTGTCTAATAGTGTTTTAAATGTGTGCATTCTTTATTTTAGCATTTTGGTGCATTTTCTTTAAAAATTAAAAATTCTGTCTAAAAACCACAGTAATGCGCCACCTTCAGCTGAAAACATAGAACTTGAGTCATTTTGAATAAATTTTAGCCAATGGCTAAAGAGTAAAGTACTACGTAAACCAGTAGAGTACTACGTGGCAGCTCCGTGCCAAAGTTATAAAAGCAACAAGCGTCTCGGCCACGCCCTGTGGCGAGTGGGAGTTGGATTTGCAAGCGAGCGTAGGAGGTCAGCGGTAGTTCAGCATTAGCATATAGCATTAGCATATCCTAGTCTTTAGCATATCTTTTAGTGTTATAAATACTTATTTAGTGTTAGCTTGGCTGTTGGATATTGTAGTTTGGTTAGTGTTTGGCTGTTAGTGTAATTGGGAAAGTATTTCGGGTTTAGTGCTCCATATCGTCTTAGTATTGGTGAGTAGGTGTAGTGTAGTATGCTTGCGGTGACTCTGTGGGCATTTTACCCGCGATTCTGCACGCCTCCGTTTGAAGAGGGAGGCTGCCCACCGTGGCTTTTCTGAGATTTAGATGCAGCCCACCGACTCTGCTCCCCCACCACGGCGGGCTCCAGTCTGAGGTGAGTAAGCTAAATAAACGTTTTAACATCTTCTAAAGACAATTCCCTACCTAAATGCAAAGTCTGAGAGACTTTACCCAGATAGCCAGCCTTTGTGACAGAAAACCCATATTTCCTCACGTTACATCTTCCTTTAGCTAGTCAGTCGGCAATTCTGCAACAGTGTCTCTAACTAACGCTGCACTAGTTGACAGACAGCATTACAGCGTGAAATCCAGCTTGTGAACAGGTTCTGTAAGGAATTCTGTTCAGGAGGTCACATTTCAGGCTCTCCACATCATGTGTGACTGACTTTTACGTTATAATGATCACACACTGGGAATGTTATAAAGCGCCTATATAGGAGATTCTTTTGTATATTATCTGACTTTATAAACTCCAACAACAATGTGCTTCTATTTTTTTTTCAGGCTAAATCTACCCAAGACACTGGCTGTCAGACTGATTTAGCTGCAAGAATGTACTTGTCCAGGCTGACGTGAAACCTTCCCTGTAGCAAAGGTGAATTATTTTTAATAATCTTCTATGTAAACATTTTACTATCACCTTCTAGTCTAAATTTGTTTTACATATTATTGTTACACGTGATTTTATGCTCTTTTAAACATTTATAAATGTGCTGCTTCTTTGTTTTTACATAGCCAGCCAGAATGGAGTCGCAGCCGCAGTGTGTCTGGTGACCCACGGGGACCATGATAAAAATTCATCTTCCAGAAAGTCCCAGAGCAGCGTCCACACCCCCTGAAAAGACCAAGGTGTGAGGTGTCTGCTGTTGATTCCAGCTTCCACCTCAGTGACAGTGCAAGCTCAGTGAACTGTTCAAGGTAAAAAAAAATTAAAACATTTCAGAATTTTTAAGATATTAACAATTAAATAAGTATGTGATTACATCATGACGGAGGCTACTGATTCTGCCCGTGACACTTGGTGGTGACGTGTGAGCTGATTCACCTGGAAAATAACTTTTACATTAAATATTTTGTTTTTGCTATCAAAAGTAAATTAACTAATAACCTGCATTATTGCAGGACACTCAGCAAAATATGGAGGCAGGCACACATTAATATTCTATAAGAGCACATAAGGTGAGCAACACCACATATAGTACACTGTCCTGAATTTGTTTTCTTTCTGCATCTCATTAGCCTGGCTGATCACCTGATAACTCCTGTCATCTGGTTGTGACAGCATGAGGATGTCCTCACACACCTGTAACCTATCAGCTCATCTGGCAGAATAGAGAGAGAAGAGACAACACCACATCTCCTGTTCCTGGAAAGCCTTCAGCCATCCTTCGATGACTGAGAACCTCCGTCAGCTCTGTCTCCTGTCTGCCTACAATTATTATAATAAATATTGTGTTTGACAAGTTTTTTGTGCTGCCAAATATCTCATTTAGATTCCAGTTTTGATATTTTAATGGATATTTATAAATTACATTGATTATCACATTTTTGTTGCATGTTTAACTAGCTCTATTGTGATTAATTAAACTAGCACCTCACTGTTAAAAGCTCGTTTTAATTTCAAGCATGTTTAAGTATTTATGGACATGAACAAAAACAGGAAATATATAAATTGAGATTTATTTAATTAATATAACAAATAAGGGGGAAAGAGTCATTGAAAGGCACATTCTTCTGGAAGCTCCTGATCCTGACGACACCAGCAGAGGCCAGCTGCAGACACCAGAGGACCTAGAACCGGGAGAGCAGCTGTTAGTAGTAAATAAATAAAGAAATCAGGGCAGTTTTAGTGGGCTGAAAACATTACAGAATAATTTTCTCATGGGGTATTTTCATAACTTTATATGCAGCAGACTGTAACTTGAGCCCAGGGCTACCGGAGAGCTGCTATCCAGCATGTTTCAGTGGATTTTCCTGCTTTAACAGGTTAGATTAGCTGTTAAGCAGCTCAGCTATTTGTTGCTGATTAAAACCAGGTGTGCTGAAGCAGATAAACCTCTAAAACATGCTGAATACTAGCTTTTTAGGGCCGTGGAGACAAACCCTGCAGCTAATCCAATGCTATGGCTAACGGCTACTTACCTTTCAGAGGTGGTTCTGTTGGGTCGGTTCTGGGAGTTTCAGGCAACTCACAAGCTCAAAACAATAAGACTCAGGTCCGCTTGTCTCCTCCAAATAGACTTGGTCCCTTTCTTCTCGAGTGTCTGTGTAAGGAGGGGGAGAAACGTCCTCCACTTCTAATAACTGCTCAGAGTGAAGGGAGCTAGCTTCGTCTAGTTAGCCATCGTCTTCGTCACTGCCGCGGCTCCGCCCTCTCAGTCTTCCAGGCAACGCCTACTAATGTTGCATTTTTTTAAATTGATACGTGGGTGGAGAAGGACTCCGAGGCTCAACTGACCCGCTCTTTAAAGATGTAATTCAAGGGGAACACATTCTTGCCTTTAAGTGGTTAATTAATACTAAACTACTAGAAATTAGGTACAAACAAAATCTGACTTTAGAATGGAGAACATATTCTTGCTTAGTAGTTGTTAACTAGTAGTTGTTGTTTAGGCTCTATCAACATGTGGAGTTTTTTGTTTATTTACATAACACCAGAACATAATATGTTTGGTTATTAATGCAGAATAACTATTCCCCTTGAATTTCTTCTTTAAAAGCCACATGTTGATTTGCGATAATTAGTGCGTGCATTAATCAGCAACAAACCATTTACTTCAGTTTACAAACCATTATGAATGGCTTATTTTTATAAAATTCTTAAATTGTGGCCTGTTAGAATTGCAGCACTGGTAATAAGCACTTAATAACAGCTTAATGATGACTAATTCAGACTTAGTTGTCCCCTAACATGCATATTAGTTAGCAGCTAATTAATGGTTAATTTGTGTTCCCTAAACTCAAGTGTTACCAATAAAGTCTATAATCCACATGCACCCTGAACTATTTTGCACACATTACCTCCAGTGATGCTCCGTAACTCCAGGACTTCTCTCTCAGTGTCTCCAAGCTTGGTCTCCAGAAGTGTTATTCTTTCTGCCATACTTGCAACTTTCTCCCCCAGTACTCCCATTTTCTCCCCAATAGACGTGAGGGAACAAACGTCACAACAGCTGGTAGAGCTGGAGCGCTGAAAGGCTCTGTCGTTGTTTTCATCATTTCCAGGCTCACAAAGGCAGAGGCCGGATGCCAGAATTAGGACAGCGATCGTCTTCATCTCCCTGGATGTGACTGTCTGCTTCTCCCCTCTGAAGCCTCTCGACGTTTGCAGGTTTTCCTGCCTGTGATGTTGTGCAAATCAGGAAATACCAGCTTCAGAAAACACCTTCTTAAATTACTCCTCCTTTTAACGATGGCTTGTTGAAAACTTTGGGAAAACCCATAAATAAAAAAGTTTTACAGTTAATCATCAGCTCTGACTGGTTTAGTCTGGACAAAGAGACCTTCAACTTTGTACCACTTTGATACCCGTTTCAGTTCTCTTTAAAAGTTGTCAAAAAAGCGCTCAGTCTAAAACCAGGAATATGGCACAGAGAGGTTTAACTGAGATTGATTAAACTCAGCAAAAGTGAAACCGTTCACAGACGACATGGACTCGTCTGTTCCTGCTGCTAAAGGAGGTGGCTTTATAAGGTCTTCTAAACCACTCCTGCAGTTGTTTTTATTCTTTTGTATATTGTAGATTATATTTGTGTGCAAATACATAAATATAATTAAATAATGTGAAGACTGTAATGTAGACAAAGTTCAGTTCAAATTATACCTTTTATCAACCAGGAAATTTGCTTTTCCTTTCGTTTCATGACAAATAAGGACACATCTCCACCTTATAACTAAAGAAGCAGACTTATGTATTTAATTCAGAACAGCTGGACAGAAACAGTAAACATAAAATGGTTTTTGCTGCTGAGAATGACTGAAATTTAGTTTTTAAGAAGTGGAAAACAGAAAACACTCAACACAACTAGATGTGTGTTTTTCTGGTTAATAACTAAAACAAATGAACCCCATAATGATTTGGACCAGAGCCTTTTGTACTGATACTTTAGATATTGTGTTTACCAAACTGAGCATGTCGACAAAAAAAAAAAAAAAAAAAAAAAGAAAATAATAACATTCCCAATTTCATCAGAAGAACTTTCAGATTGAATGGTTTTGATCCAAGAGGGAAAAGGTTTGGACACGCCTTCTCTAAAAACCATAACAGTGTCTCTGGTTAAAGCACTCAAAGTAAGAGGAACAGGCACCTACTTTATTGAATAATTCTCTGTAACATTCAAAGACCCTTAAAATGTATCAGTCAGGGTATTTTCTACCAACTTAACTATAAATACACTGAATATAATAAAAAATTCACATCAGGTGGTAATGAATGAATACAGCATGCATTCATCTGTGTCTTACTCTGTTTTCAGTTTGATCCACTTTGACCACCATGACCTGTCTTAGAACTTTATCAAAAATAACTGGCCTTAAAGTTTGGACTCTTCCTGAACATGAAACGTTGTTTTCTTAGTAAAAGTTCCTGAAATGCTTCCTGAATGGACTGACTTCCGTGTTTTCAGATATACAACTCATAGGTTAATTTGAGCCGGATCTCCCAGGAACAAGATCCGGGAATGGAAGGACCGTTGTGGCAACTGCCTGAAGCAGGGGAACAGTAAGATGACAAAAACTACCACTGTTAAACGAAATGTGTGTTAACTTAGAAAATGTGGACGCAGTTTTTAATTACTTGTCAAAAACTCCAGCGAGTCCTTAAAAGAACAGAACCCAAACTCATTTGTTAAAAAATATTCCCAAATAATTTATTGGTGTAAAAACTACAGACCTGAAGCATCTTAAAACTATATATATATATATATATATATATATATATATATATATATATATATATATATATATATGTATGTATGTATATATAAGTATGTATATATGTATGTATATATATATATATATATGTATATGTATGTATATATATATATATATATATATATATACATATATATATATATATATACATACATGTATACATACTCATATATATATATATACATACATATATATATATATATATATATATATATATATATATATATATATATATATATATACATACATATATATATATATATATATATATATATATATATACATACATATATATATATATATATATATATATATATATATATATATATATATATATACATACATATATATATATATATATATATATATATATATATATATATATATACAGTTATACACATGTACAGTTTTGTCCATTTTAATAAATAAATGAGAGATAAATACGTTTTTGTTACATAAACAGTGTTTAGGTACACTCCATGTAAAAATAAGAAATATTACATGTGAGTGCAGACAGGAGGACCGGTCTCCAGCATCAGAGGTGATTAAAGCAGCAGAGTCTGGTTAAACGTCAGAGCCGACGGGTGCTGTGGAGGTCAGAGAGGGATGTTTATCGCCGGGCGCTTCCTGGCTGGTGCGTCTGGCTTGTTTCTGTAAAGCATGGCAGCATGGGACTCAAAGGCACTGACCATTTTCTTCACCACTTCATCAAAGAACAAGCTGGCCAGCTGAGAGTGTAGCAGAGACTTGAACTCAAACGACACCTACAGAGGACAGAAGCATGTGATCGGGTTTATTATGGTTTTAGGAGTTCATCTATAATTTAGCTCAAAAAACAACACCAGGGGTGAACTTTATCCGTGGCTTGTTCTCCTCAGCCTGATAGAACTCCGACTGGTTCTAGGTAATCTGGCTCAGATTTAAGGTGAAACTGGTTGGTGGCTCTCTGACACTGCCGTCTGACTGTTTCTATCCAAAAAGGACTCCAGCGCTCTGGAGGCTGAGTTTAGAGCCTAATGAGAGTTGACTCACCCCTTCTTCTCAGCCAAGAGCAGTCACAAGTTAACAGAAAGGAAGATTTCTAATTTAACAATCAAATCTGATCTCTTAGTTAATCTAATATTGGGATATTAGAGGGTTAATCCCAATACATGATATGTATTAAAGTATTAACATCCACCTTCAGCCACTGGGATAACACTCAACACTGCCGCCTGTCTGAAGCGTCACATTGCATTCGTTGTCCTGTCAAAACCTGTTTTTTATTCTGTAATCAAACCATTTCTCCAATTACAAAGATTAAAATAAAATAAAAAAGCATTTCAGCTGTCTGAACAGATGCTTTTGCAGTCCATAATCTCTCTGTTTAAAAAGATGAAATGATGAATGCTAGATATTATTCACATCCCAAAATACTTACAAAGAAATCCCCTTTGCATGAACCTGGTCGGTCTTTGGCTCCAGGAGCAAACCTCCATATTGTTTCGAGATGGCTGAAGAGAGATCCATCAGAGCACACAGCCTGGTTTAAACAAAGACAGTTATTGATTATTTACCAAAAGGCAGACAAATATAAAAAAAATAAATGAAATGGTTGTTGTTGGTGCATTCTCCAACTTACTCTGATTTGGTGGTTTGGAACAAAGGTGATCTCAGAGGTGTATCGCTCACTAATGGGTGGAAAACCGATTTCAAGTTGTGCCCAGACGCTTCCGTTTGGTCTCTTCATCATCTGAGACTTCTTACACCAGGGAACAAACTTGTGGTACTCGTCCACGTTGGCCACCACATTGTACATCTGTTCTGGAGTGTAGCTGCACACAGAGGAAACACACCTTACAGCCAGGGGCGCCTACAGAAAATTTTGATAGGGGTGGCCAGATGGGGCCAAAGAAATGTTTGGGGTGGCACACCAAATTGGTCCTTGTGTTAACTCTAGGAGAGTTTAGCCTGTGGCCATGTATTGCATTGCCCCTTTATTTGTTTTTATTTTTTTTAAAAACTGTACGTTTCCACTTGAATTGAATTGAATTGAATTCCAAAACATGTAACTTAATTTTACAAACACAAACATTTCAGAAACATACATTTCACTTATTTCAAATTTGATTTTAAAAGGTGGTTTTTTTTGTTTGAATTCGCTGTTGCTGTGTTCATAAAAATCTATGGAGATAAAAACTTTTTTTAAATGGTGAGCAGCAGAAACATATGTATTCTTTAAATTCTGATTATTTCTTTACTCATTAATTGTATTATTTTCATTTTGTTTTACAATTACATCTTGAATAAATAAGACCACTTTATGGTTTGAGTGAACATTAATATGATTTATTACCACTGGCTTTTACTGGGGGGCCAGCAATTTTCTAGGGGTGGCCATTTGCCACCCCTGGCCACCCATTGGGGGCGCCATTGCTTACAGCTCTAAATGAGCTCAAAGCTTTGTGTTTACGTATTTATGTTTTTATATTCATTACAGTCATCATAACATAAATTAAATTAACTCACTCTAGCGTCCGACTCTCCGAGTACTCCATCCTGCGGGTGATGCTGGGAGCAGCCAGGCTGATGAAGCTGCGGTGGGGGGTGCTCACATGGGGGCAGAACTGAAGGCTGCTCCTCCTGCCAGCCAAAATCCCACAAGATCCAAAATGTCTATAATAACGGGAATAAAATTCATATCAGGGGAAATGTGTTGTAAAAGTAAATATTCACCTCCAGAAGTGAAAGTGACGTGCACTCACGCCTGCTCACCTGTAAGATGCCCTGCTGGTCCCCTGAGCTGCTTTGAGGTAACGGACATCCTTCCGCTCCAGCAGCGCCCTGAACAGCTGGCAGCTCGTTTTCGTGCTCATCCTGTGGTAAAGCGCTCTTTCCTGTCTGGTCTGGAAGATATCAGCAGGATCTTTATACTGACTGACAAGGGTGTTGCGTAAGGGCTTGCATCATCGTCAGTGACCAATCAAATCTCTTGCAAATGGTTTCTAAACGATACGTTGAGAAAATACTGAACATGGGTAAAATAGCAGCAAGACTGAACAAACAAAATAATAAAAAGATACTTTATATATATTGTTTGTTTTTGTTTTCCCTAAAATGTGTTATTTTCCCAACAGTTTGTCCCTTTCAGTCAACGATCTGAAAACATATGTCGTTTTTCCTCATTTAGTCAAGTTATGGATTATTTTCTCTATGGCTTTCAAACATTTGGTCAAGGTTCAAAAGAACTTGGATGAAAAAAAAAAAAATAAAGTCTTGACCTAAAAATAGATCTTTCATTTGCTTAAATGCAGTATTTCATCCAGACTAAGAAAGAAAGAAAGAAAGAAATCTTTTCTATAGCGCCTCTCAAGATAAAAATTACAAGGCGCTTCACAAAAACTAAATATTTAAAATAGACAAATTGTGATTAAAAATTGCAGAGAGAGAGAGAGAGAGAGAGAGAGAGAGAGAGAGAAATCAGTGAATCCTGGGGAAGGCAGAACAAGGAGAGGCTGGTGATGAAGGTCATGCAAAAGCCGGCCTGAGCAGGTGAGTTTTCAGCTGCTTTGCTAGCTCGTTGTTACCAAAAACATTCACCATGAAGCAATTTGGTAACCAGATTCCTGACATCATCTTTTCTGGTGAAGTGACAGCAGGTTCCTGATCTGTATACGTTGAACTTGGACTTTGACGTCAGCAGCAGAGGTCGTAGAACTGACGGATGTAATGATTAAACCAGACTGAACGTAAATGCAAATATCTTGTCAAAAGCAGATTTGTGAATCAGAAATCAGTAGTTTTCATTGACTCATTTACTATACATGTACTGTGAATCTACTTTATTTAAGAGGATGACATGATGAGTTAGCTGTGTGTTAACAGAATCAGCCCTGTTGGTGAGGTCCAAATCCGGCCCCCGAGAGGAATTAGAGCACCTGATCTGGGAAGCACAGCAGAGCCTTAATCAGTTCAGTCAAAAATAGGTCAGCTGCGTAACACCTAGGTGAACCGACGTATTTCCTGTCTCATGGTGAAAGAGAACAGAGTCATCCTCAGACAGAATTAGAAAAGACCTTGGTCCCGTTCCAGGGGCTCTGCTCTGAGCCCTGAAACCTGCAGGGATTCACAAGTTCAGCTGATAAACCTTGTTGGATGAAATCTTAACTGTCTCTGAGTTTTATACCAGTTTTAAGATTTTCACTGAAAAAACTTTTAATTTGATTTGCAGTTTGAGTTTCTTTGGCGTTTCTAACTGGTTTATTCAGAAATGTCACAATTTCCCTGTGGGTGATAACAGCGCGGTCATGCAGTACATATCTTCTAAGGTGGATTGTATGTAAACGTTTTACTTTTGCGTTTATTCAAATATAATTTCATGGAAATCTTCTAAACCAGTTTCACCTCATCAGAAAACAACAATGGCACAGAAATGTTTGGTTTGGAATGGCTCCATAAAATAGTATTTTAATAATATTTGTAGGTTTAAACAAAGCCTTTGAAACAATTGATCATACAGTATTAACAAACTTCCAAAATATGGTATTAGGGGAGTTGTTCTTGAGTTAGAATTTATTTAACCAATAGAAATCAATTTGTACAAATATATAATTATAAGTCAGAACTGGTTAGTATCAATTGTGGGGGGCCACAGCGGTCAGTTTTGGGTCCAAAGCTATTTATTTTATGTATCAATGATTTGTGTGAGGTTTCCAGAGCATTAAAATGTGTTTTATTTGCAGATGATGCAAATGTTTTTGCTTCGGGAGAGAATTTACATAATTTGTAAGTTGGTAACAGAAATGGCTAACCTGAAACTATGGTTTGATTTGGGGATCAAGATGAGAGGATGCATTTTCCACGGCAACTAAGAAAGTATGGCCTACCACAAGAGCTGCTGATCATCTTCCATACTGCTACAGTCGAATCCATACTCTGCTCATCCATCACTGTCTGGTTTGGGTCAGCCACAAAAAATGGAAAAATGCAGGCAGACTACAGCACATAATTAAAACAGCAGGAAAAATCATTGGTGCCCAACTGCCCTCTGTCCAGGAATTGTACACCAGCAGGACCAGGACAAAGGCAGTGAACATTGTTCAAGACTCCACACATCCTGCATCAACTCTCCTCAATCTCCTCCCGTCTGGCAGGCACTGTAGATCGTTGTACACAAAAACTACCAGACACAAGAACAGCTTCTTTCCCTCTGCCATTACTCTCCTGAATCTTTTATTATACTTTTTTATATTTATAAAGTATGCTTATGGATATGAATGTGTAGGTATGTATGTGTGTATAAGTGTATGTGCACGTGTGTGTAATATATGTATGTATATATATATATATATATATATATATATATATATATATATATATATATATATATATATACATAATGTGCATGTATTTATGTGTGTATTTATTCTTTCTATTGTTTACTTTTATTTTTTATTTCATTTTATTTTTTATGGTAATTCAAAGTTTGTGCTTTTTTCCTGATAAAGGAAAGCATTCTCATGTATTGTTGTATGTTTAAGAGAGCTAACATCTACTCAAGCTAAATTCCTTGTAAATGTAATTTTACTTGGCCAATAAATCTGAAACAAAAAATAAATAAATAAATAAAAATCTGAAATTTGAATAGATTATCATTAAACTTAAACAAAACTGAAGTCATGTTGTTTGGAAAACGTAAAATAAACACACATATAGCAATAACTGATATTATTATAGAAAGAGTGTATGAAAATAAATTTCTGCGTGTAATCCTTGATCCCAAATTATGTTGGAAACCTCACATAAAATATGTTAAAGGAACGGTAGCACGGAGTATTGGGGTGTTGGGAAAAGCAAGACATTTTGTGTATCAAAAGGCATTGTGTATACTGTTCTGCACACTGATAGCACCATACCTAACTTACTGTGTTGAAGTGTGGGGAAACCTCTATAAAACCACCCTACATGCACTTTGTACGTTACAAAAACGAGCCATAAGGTTGGTCAGTCATGTGGGATATAACGAACACACAAATAGCTTGTTTATAAAATTACAAACCTTAAAGTTCAAAGATTTGATAGAATTTAGGACTGCATTATTTATGTACAAAGTAAATAAAAAAATACTGCCTAAAAATATTCAAACTGTTTGCAGAAAGACGAGGTGGATATAAGTTGGGAAGGGAATTAAATTAGAAGCAGCATTGTGCTCAAACAAAATTGAAAAGTATGTGTGTTTCAGTTAGTGGAGTTATTTTATGGAATAGTCTTGAAGAAAAATCAAAGAAAGTTTAAATATAGTGCAATTTAAGAAATTATATAAAGAATACATTTTTTCCAGATATAGACAAGAGGATCACTAATTTGCATATGTACTGTAGTAGTGATAATATATATTAACGTTGTTGTAATTTATGCTGATACTTTTGAGTTGTATTGAGATGTTGTGTTCAGAAGTTGTTGTATTCTGATATTTTAATTTTTTAAGTATGAGTAAATTGATTTAGGAATAGGTGAAATAAGCAATGGTTTCTCCTATTCCTTTTGGAACAACTATGGTTGTGATGAGTTATTTAAGTTGGAAATTACTATATGTATTGTTTGATTTGTTTGGAATAAAAAGAGGGGAAAAACAGTATTTTAAACACCAACCTGCAAAAACAGCTCATCTGTCTGAAGCATCATTTGTAAAATGTCACTAAATTAAATGCATCAAACACAGAAAGGCACCAGAGAAAGAAATGACACTTCCTTTACAGAACCCTATGTTAAAACAACTAAAAATGCCATTTCATGTTTTACATGATTATTGTTGCCAGCTCACTTTTTCTGCACAGAATCATCTGTTTATATAAATTGTATATATTAAAATCTATCTTTACCTGTGGATTTGCTGCAGCATGTGATGCTCATTTTTTCATGAAAAAGGCAGACAAAAGAGGAGATATTCTACATAAAGCATATTTTGAGTGACTAATATATATATATATATAAGAACGTGACAAACTATCACATTTTATGTTTTTTTAGTTTTGGTGTAGCAGCAGATTTAAAATGTAGCGCCCTCTTGTTAAAAAACAAAAACGTCCCATTGACTTCATTGCAAGCCACAGCTTTTGATCCTGTATCATCTGCAACAAATAATCATGTTTCTGTGATGTTTTGGTTTCTTTTTGGACAAAAGTAGTCCAATTTATAATATTTACTGTTCACCACCAAATTCAGTCATTTCTCCATATGTTGTCCAGTCGAGAAAGTTTACACATTTCTTTAGATCTTCTGCTGTTTTTATTTAACTCAGAAGGTCAACCTGACCTCTGATAAGTAAATAAAACACAGTTTGACTCTCCCACTGAACTTTAAAGTGTACAAAACAAAAACAATTAGTATGTTTATGCACCTGCCACATTCAAACTCCCTGTAGTCTGGTTATCTGGTCATTTCACCTCTATGAAAGCCACGGAGCAAGATGGAGAGGCATCTCTCTGTGGAACAAGTTCTGGATCAGCTCCTGCAGCCTGATACTCCTGGAGAAAATGAGGAGAGTGAAACATCTTCAGTGGACTTTGAGGTGGAGTCAGACCATTCTGTTTCCTTGACTTCTTCTCCTGACCTGTCCAGTGAAAGAGAAGGGAGGACAACGGATCCTGCTCCAGAATGGATTTCTAAAAGTGGGCAAGTCTGGTTTCCTACTAACGCAGATACTTCTCACTATGTTCCTGCTGCAAGATGTTTGAATCCTGGGCCAACACGTTACGCCATCACACGTATTTACGACGTGGTATCCTCCTTTGATTTTTTTCTTTACCCAAGAAATGATTGAAATCATCGTCAACATGACCAGTCTAAATGGAAGACGTGTGGAGAAGAACTGGTGGGATGTTGATGACATCGCGGTGAGAACGTACACTGGGCTCATGATTTTGGCTGATGGGGGATGACCACTGTGGACGTGCAATCTTCCGGGCCACCATGAGTCACACCAAATTCAAGATGATCAACTCCACCCTCCGGTTTGATGACAAGCTGAACAAGCCTTCCTGTCTCAGGCAGGACAAGCTGGCCCCTATCCGCTCGATTTGGGACATGTGGACCCATCGCCTCCAAATGCTTTTCAACACTGGGTTAGACGTGGGTCGATGAGCCGCTTGTCCCTTTCAGATGCAGGTGCAAGTTTCACCAGTATATGCCAAGTAAACCAGCAAAGTACTGACTGAAAATCTGGGTCACTGCAGATGTTGCCACTTCCTATGCCTGGAAGTGTCAGGTTTACACAGGGGAAGCTGCTGGTGGCGCTGCAGAGGTCGGCCAGGGAAAACGTGTCATTCTGGAGATGACCAAGGAGCTTTTTTTTCCAACATATTCACTTGTGCAGGAGCTCCTGAAGAGGAAAGTGGCTCTGGTTGGTACAGTCAGAATAAATAAGCCAGAACTTCCACCCAAACTCCTGCAGCTGAAGCGGATACCTGTTCTGTCCTCTGCTTTTGCCTTCGCAAAGACGACCACAGCGGTGAGCTACGTTCCTAAACGGGGGGGGGGGGGGGGGGGGGGGGGGGGCGGATGTGTAAACTTTCTCGCCTGGGCAACATATGGAGAAATGACTGAATTTGGTGGTGAACACTAAAAGTCACAAATTTGACTACTTTTGTCCAAAAAGAAACCATAAAGTATCAGAAACATGATTGTTTGTTGCAGATGTTACATGATCAAAACTGGTTTGTATTGAAGTCAATGGGACATTCTCGACATATCCAAGGCTGATTTAAAAAAATTATTTCAGTCCCTCAAAATGTGTTTTATGTAAAATATCTCCTTTTTTGTCTGCTTTTTTCATGAAAAAATGAGCATCTCATAATCAAACGGGCATATAAAGGGTTAAAATTTACATCATATTCAATCATTGATTTTTTTCATCACAATATTTAGACCCAAAAAGCAGAAAAATAATAATAAAAATAATATTAATCTGGACCATTTTAAATCCATTTTAAAAGTGGACGTTTTTGTCCTCTAATGGCTCGCATGTAAAGTAAATTTTAAATCTGTCGCTATATAAAAACTATATAAATATAAAACTGTAAATACAAAATTTTGGATATTTATAATCAAGACTGATTTGTAACAAACGCCCTAGGCAAACAAAAGTTTATTTTTGGAAAATAACTCAGTTTTGTGTTTTTTTTTCTCATATATTACAGCAATGACTTTGCGTATTCAGACTGGCACTTCAAGGGTTAAAAGCCTCAAAATGATTGAATTGTTTTCATGTTTGAGCAGGGCTGAAGTTGTTCAACAGATCTATGAAAAAAATACGAATGTATACTTTTTTTATAGCCACTTTTACAAGCGGACTTTTTTGTCCTCTAATGACTCTTGTATAAAAATTAAAGTGAAGTCTGAGGGTTAAGCAGTTCTAGGTTTGTATTTTAACAAAAACACCAGTAATTTATTCAAACATTTGATCTAATTTACATTAGTTGCAGTGAAATCAAATAGGTGCAATTTGTATGCGTTTTTAAAAAAAGTAGCGATTCCCTAATGCCTATAATAGCAAATAGAAATTCCAGCGTCCATGTAAAAAGAAGAAAATTCCAGTAAATGAAAGGAGCATGAATCAAAACATTAAACAAAACCCTTTAGAAATGCCTCCCCTGTGATAACTAATGCATAAAAACATAATATAAAATTGCTTTATCTTTGTGAACCCCACTCACAAAAATCTAATCGTTTATCCAAGAGCCAAACTTGAGCTTCACACACAAACGTGGCGTCTGCAGAACGCTCTGTCAACACAAATGCATGTCATAAATTATTGCTCTTCAGATGAGAAAATGATCTTGCTCATGGCTCGGATGTACTGCAATCCATCCGGTTGTGTCAGCTTCGGGTCGGTCAGCGGAGGCACGACGCTGCCGGTGAAGTATCTGAGGGCGGGGCTGCTCGACTGGATGGCCGTTAGAAACACCTGAAGGCAGATGCAGACCGATGAAGGTAAACCAGCATTCCCAGCATGAGGTCAGATGTTTTTAATTATTAGTCTTTTTAGATATCAACTAACTCTCTCTAATTGTCAATCTTAATTCACTTTTAGGGTGTCAGAGTAGAACAAGTTTCCCCAAAGTCACAATAAATACATCAACTTGTGCTGCAGCACAACTTCCTATCAGATAAACTGGAATAACTTTGTATTTAGAAGATTGTTCTGAAAGCTGTATTAAAAAAACATTTTCTTCTTTCTTTTCATCATTTCCATCAAACAATACGATTCCAGAAGCATTATGGATGCTCATAGTTGGTAATGTCATTTTTTGAGTTACTTCGTACCTTCACAATATCTTCGGTGTCCTGAGCAGCATTTTGGAAAACGGAGCTGCAGTGTTGCAGGTACTTTTCATACAGACTGAGTGTTTGGGTGTCGACCTGTTGGAGAGATGGGTCACCAAGCTCCGCCTTCTGCAGGTTAACCAGGAAGTCGGTGTTGACTGGACCACACTCAATGAGACTCACACTACAGAATAAAATACGTCATTAGTCATTGCAAATGGATATTTACTTATATTTACCCATACATACTTCATAAACAGCCTTTAAAGTAAGCAGCCATGATGATCTGATCCATTGAAACTCACTGAATATTAAAGTGTTGCAGAAGGACAGCCAGACTCTCACACGCTCCCTCGATTGCAAATTTACTGGCGCAGTACATGTCATTAAAAGGGAGACCTTAAAGAGCATTACAATTGTTTATTTAGGAAAATAAATGCATACAAACATCACCCAAATATCCTTATTAGTGATTTATTTATTTTTATTTTTTTTACCGTGAAGCCCTCCGGTGCTGCCGGTGACCAGAATGTGACCCTGACGTCGAGCCTTCATCTCTGATAAGAAAGCCTGAATGGTCTGGATGGTCCCAAGGAGGTTGACCTCCAGAATATGCCTCATGGAGTCCAGATGCTGCACCTCCAGCGGCCCCACCAGACCCACACCGGCATTACACACTGTAAATATTCACATCAAATCACAATAAAATACACACTGGATCCAGGCTTAGACACTTCCAGAAGCTTACCCAGAATGTCCACTCTCTTCTCCACAATCATGTCTTTGGCCTGCATGATTGACTGCCTGTCCGTCACATCCATTTGCAGTATTTCCAAGGTGCCCTGGTGCAGATCTTTAACACATTCCAAAAGTCGCTCCTTCTTCGCCAGGTTCCTCATGGTGGCATAGACTGAACAGAACAAAGTGGCAGGTTTTAATTTATCCAGACTAGACAGAAAGGTAGAGGA